TAGTAATAGTAGTAGTAGTAGTAGTAGTAGTAGTAGTAGTAGTAGTAGTAGTAGTAGTAGTAGTAGTATAGGACGAATAATGGTAGAAGGTGGGTGGTGAAGAGGCAGAATAATAATAATAAAAGTAAGACGGTAAGGAGAAGAGGATGAGTAGGAGGAGGAGGAGTGAATTTGTCCCAGAGACCGGAAGGATTGGCGCAAAAGTTGCGATGCAGGCGGCGTGCCTTCGAACGGCCCGAGCTGGTGGCCTCGGTGGACAGATTAGCAGACGGGACAGGGGCGTGTGTGTCCTAATCATGACCCGCCTCGTATGGGGCACAAATGTTGCCGGCCGGATCCTCATTGAATGCCATGCGGCTGGCGGGCCCAGCACCGGTCGTGCAGACGACCATGCTGACCGCAGGAAATGCTGATTGACAGCAATTAGAGAGCAAGAAGAGAGAGCTTTCTGCCGGTTGCCATTCCCCTCTTTCACCATTCTTCGCCTGCTGGGCCTTCTTCGCCTTGTCCGGCAGACGGTCGTCCCGGCCAGACCAATGCGTAAACACTCGTCTCATCCTACAGACCTCGACGGTGTTTTATCCTGCCAGGCTGGCCTGCCAACAGACAATAGGTCAAACGGTATCTGACGCGCCCTACATGGTGTCTACCATCCTAGAGGGTAGAGTCAAGCAGACCAATCGGCGACTTGACAAACTCAAATTAAACATTCATTTCTGTAGGTATAGTTCACTTTTGCGTCCAGAATTGTGCATTTATCTGTATGCTTTTGTATATTTGTGTGTGTTTGTATGTGTGTGTATGAATGTATGCATATATATGTGTGTGTGAGAGAGTGTGTGAGGGTTTGTGGAGTGGTACACCAAAATATAACATCTGTGACTCATCTCTCCTATCTTGTAACGCTACACTTCTCGCTAGTTGAGATGAGAATGGAGGAAACGATTTTTGTGGAGGTAGATTTAAGTGAAATTCTATGGTTTCATCTTAAAGCATTTGGCTCAAATCATACCGATTGGGCTGGATTGACATAGTTTCTCATCCACAAAATGATGATACCTCCGAAATAGACTCACCAATAAGTTAGTTGGTAGATTTTTGAAACTAACAGTAGATCATATATCTGAAATGTATCTACCCTATTGTCGAGGGGCCGCCTGTGAAGAAACTAAAAAAAAGTCATATGCTCGTTTGCTATTGCAAAATACAACTTTGCCTATCGACAATCCCACTACCGAGTGTGATATGGGAAAATGCCTGGCCTTGCTTGAACTTCATATCTGACTGTGACCCAAGGGCACTCGTGACAGTCTGGCAGAGTGTTTCATCTGTCGAGATTATACGTTGCAATGACATGGTTCGAGTCCCACCGTGGGTGTTGATGATACCAATTTGGGCGAGGTCGAAACTGCAATCCCTTTCCACCGGGATGTGTGAAATTCAAAGGTCTCCTCATATGATTGTGATAAAATCATATAAAATTATGTTTACCACATTGACAATTCCACCCACAATGAGCTTTCGTGTGTCGTTTGATAGACGTCGTCAGCGCAAGAACGCATACTTTACGAAATCTCCCAAAAATATATACCAGACTTGGCGCAAGCCTCATGATTGAACCGTACCGTGGGCTGTGGTGCGCATTTTTTCGTAATGGATTTGGAGTCCTGCCATCTTGAGGCAGATTTATTCTTGCTCGTCTTAATCTTCCTCTAGTGTCCAGCTAGATCTATTTAGATCTTCTTGCTTCCATTACTCCATTGAGAGATGTTTCGCTGACATTTCTTGCTCTGAGGTTAGAGTTATTTCCTCCACTCTTTTCCCTTG